ACCTTGCATATTTAGAGTTGTATAATGAACTGTCTGGTAGGGTTTTTTGTTTAAAATTTGTAAAGAGATATAGGTACATGGACTGTTCTAACTACCAGAAATAAGTTGTTAGTCCTGGGAGAAGTTAAATAAAATGGCAGTTAGAAAAAGGAACTATGGAAAGGAGAGGGGAAGATGCAGTTTTCACAATCTCCTTTAAGCTTGCTTAATTCATTGCTAAATTTTGCAAGTGATAGGAAATCCTACCAAAGGAGAGCTTCAGAATCTTGTTTGATATTATGAGACAGGTTCAAGTTCAAGTAAAAAACGTTCAAGTAAAATAGCTCTACCTATTCTTGCAGTGACAGCAGTTAAATATTTAATTCTTTCCTTTTTTGCCCTTTGAATTAGTAGCTGAAAAACATGTTTGTCTTGGGATGAGTGGAAGAAGATAAAACAGATTTTGAGACTGGTTAGAGAATCTATTTATTCTTTGAGGTGAATGGGAAATAGAATACAAAGGAGGACAAGGAAATAAAAGATTAGAGCTAATCTTTCTCGTGATTTAAAAGGTTGTTTCCTTAGCAGTCACGCATCATTGTTAAAAAGCAGACGGCTATTTAGAATCCCAGCATTATTATTCTGTCTCAAATGGCACTCATCAGTTCTTTACTGAGCAGAGTTTTGTTCAAATCTAATGAGCTTCCTTTGCTGTCAGTAGGGAATCGAATTTGCTAATTTCTGGTGTGCTTTCCAATATGAAATACTTCCCATATTCTTACTTCTCTAATGTGAGTGTTAAGGGGTGATTGAATTCCCTACGCTCTGCCAATTTTGTATTTATATAGTTTAACACTRTTGTATTTTGATCCACAGTTGGATACAAGGGTTCCCTGATAGTATAAAAAATGCCTTGAGGTTATTTATAGAAGAATTCTGTTGTGCCTTTTATGTTTAAGGTTTTATAATAGGTTTTCTAACAGAGGATTCTGGTTACTAGCTCGCAGTGTTAAATATAGAACTCTTAAACCATTGGAGGAAAAACAGCTGCTAGATTTCATAAATAGTAAAAAGAAAAACCCACCTAAAAACCTGTCACTTTAATATGATTAAAATATGTGTTCAAACTGCTAGAAGTGCTCTAATTTTTGAATGAGATATGTTGAAATGTAAGAACTCACTGTAATGATTGTAGTCTACTTTGATCTAGTAAAAATAAAACAAGGTTATGTAAGTACAATATGGTATTTTTCTTAACTTGCATACATCTGCAGAGTATATTTGACTGGAATGTTAAACAATTGTTTCTATATTTGTCTGCAGAATATTCAACAAAAAACAATGTAAGTATTAAAAAGAGGTTTGAAGCAATTACCCATTTTGGTACTGCAGCTATTTTTAAACATTCTGTAGTTCTGCTGGGAAGAGTTAAGGCCTCCAGCATTTCCTACTAGCCTGGGCTGTTTTTACTGGTCTTCATGATCATTTTCTTGCCAGTTTAACTGCAGGGTGGGAAGTTCACCTTAATGAAACCTAACTTGATATATGCCCAGTAGAATGGCAGAAAAATAACACTTGCCTTGTGTTGCAGTATGCAAGCAATAGTATACTGTGAGTTTTTTCACCTTTTCTGTTTTACTCTTTTCTAACAACGTARTTGACTGCTGTTAGAGAGAGTGGCTTCTAGGCTAGCCTGGTGTGGTGTGTCTTTTGTTCATAGATCAGAGAAGTGGTTACCCCTCCCTGTTACTGTAACCTCGTAATTGATTCACATTACCTTGTCTTACTTCTCAGAATAATTTGCATTGCTCCTTTAARTTGATTGCTACTGATACTTCCCTTTGTCTAGCTGAACACCCTTTTTACTGATGTGATAGAAGCTATGTGGAACAGCCTTTAAAAAAATTAATGAAACACCATTCTGCCATGGTACCACTGAATTCTAGTTAAAGCTGCTGTGGTCACATTTCAAGGATATAGTGAAAACTTTGAGGGTTTTCTTAACATGCTGTACAAAACTATCACTTTTCTTTGTTTTCTTGTTTCTTTGAAGTTAATAAGTTACATTAGAATGGTGGATATTGTATTTGTACTAGAATACTTTTTAGGGTTTCTGAGATTTTATTGTATTGTTTCATATTTTAGATTTTTTTTTCTGATGAAACACTATTTCTCACAAATACTGAGAAGTATTTTCTGTAAATTGTTTATTTGTATATTGTTTTATTGTTTATATGCCCAAGACCGTTGGGCATCTGCTTCAAACAACAGTATAAAATTTCAGTAACTTAAGGACTTACAATTGTTCATAAATTTTTAGGGGTTAGGCTTGCAATTCAAGATTTCTCTGAAAGTTGGAAAGATGTTAAATACATAAGCAATCATGATACTCAATTTAAGTCCTTTATTTGAAACAAAGTCTAAATACTGCTTTAAAAGTGACTTACCTTTCTAATTCAGAAGGAAACCCCATTATGCTTTGTATTTCCTCTAAAGCATGTAACTTTTTTAAAATGGCTTTCTTGTGTTTTAAGATGTTCCTTGTTTCCATTTATTCTGTGCCATAGATCACTATGCAGTAGTACTAGATTACCCCYCAGTAAAGCATTATTTTGTGAAATTAGTTATGGATTGCAAGCATGTACTTCGGGGGGTTTCGATGAATAATGCAATGAAAGTCCAGTGTCTGAGTGTGATCTGGTGAGGTACCTTGCTGACTTGACTATAATTGTGTTTTTAGGCACTAAATCAGGTGGTCCTTTGGGACAAGATCATGTTGAGAGGAGATAACCCAAGACTGTCCTTAAAAGACATGAAGTCAAAGTACTTTTTCTTTGATGATGGAAATGGTCTCAAGTAAGTTAATATGTGGTTTATTACTGTTAATCATGGTATCTTGATTTACTTGCATGCTTTGCATTTAATATGGGTGTTCATTGGTGTGGTAAGGTATCTGGCACTCTGTCATTTTTGTTGCATCATTGTGGTTTAAATGTTACAAGATGACCTTGGGATACAAGATATCCTATGTATTCTGTAGATTAGAAGATGCACTGCTATTATGAGTGACAGGCTTCTGGGTTTCTGCTTTCAGTCTGCGTAGAATTGGTTCTGTGATGTATTCAACTCCAAAGATGTTAAGTAAAAAAAAAAAAAAGTAGGCAGTAACTGCATTAAAAGCTTATTGTTTCTGGACCAGAAAAACAATCTGTATTCTAATATGTGTAATATTAGTCATTGTTAATTAAATTGGTTAACTTGAGTATTTGTGCTAAAAATCTTCGTTGCTTTTGCAGGGGAAACAGGAATATCACCTTGACTCTCTCCTGGAATGTTGTACCAAATGCTGGCATTCTACCTCTTGTAACAGGATCAGGACATGTGTCTGTACCTTTCCCAGATACCTATGAAACAACAAAAAGTTATTAAATTATAGTACTGAATCATTAGCAAAATATTTTTATACTTGTATATTGTGAATACATTTTATTGCCGTTTCTTTTTGCATCTCATGCAACTTTTCACTGAAAGGAATTTAATTTCCTCAGGCGAGTAGCATGGGAAAAGGAAATGAAAGTTCAGGATTTTTTTTTCCTAGCATACCATTGAAGCTGAAACTTAAAGAAAGGTAAATTGTGGAGTAATGGTTTTGCCRGAGCGGGGCGGGGGGAAACCAGAGGATTCTTTTCTTGGCCATCTAAGTATAGATCTCCTTTTCTTTTAAATAAATATTTTTAAACCAGAAGATAGACTTCCTGTGTTTGGGCTTTTTAAGTAGTGTGGTAGCTATTTAATATGTATAGAACTCTAAATACACCTTCTGGAGTTGGTTTCTGTGAGTGCCTGAAGCTGTTCCATTTTAGGGCCTTTTTCTAAATCCATGCTCAGTATGTTACAGTAGGGAAAGCTTGGTACTTTGTAGAGACTGCCAGCAGCTACTTGGAAAACTGATAATTCATTTTCTGTCAGTCAGCCTCAGATTCTTGGAAGAATAAAAAGAAATCTATTCAGTATGAGTCTTAAGATTTTAAGCATGAGACGTAAGCRTAAGTCAGTAAGAAAAGTAAAAGCTTTAAGTAAGGAAAGGCTGTCTGCAAAGGAATCTCTAGATACTTTTTGGGATCTCCGTTTCAGGTAGAATGAAGGTTCTTGTTGCCAAAGGGGCTGAGACAACTGATATTAGAGGAGATCTTCCATAGCGAGGAATGGGATAGATGTTGCCCTAAACCGTCTGGGAAAGCCCTTCTAAAATAGAGGATTTCCCCATGAAAAGATAAATTGAGGCAGTTTTACCAGCTTGAGTGTCAATATGAGTCTACCTGCAAATCTTGCTGAGTTGCATCAGCCAGAAAAGGTGGCAAGTTTCAGTCAGCACCTCTGTTGAAAAAGCAGCCTCTCTGTGGCTGCACATCCCCCTCTGTGTTCTTTCCTCAGCTACAGCTGTGAATACCTGTTGGAGTTTGGAGGGCTGAAGGAACAGGGTGCCAGGATTGTCTCTTGGCAATAACGATGGTTTATAGTGATGGACTGGTGTGCTTAGGTCCCGGAGAAGGAGCTTGCACCACTATTGCCTTCCTGGCACAGTCCTTAATGTACACATGTATCTTCAAACAAAGCATGACAAGGTAATTTATTGACAGAGAATGTTTTGAATGTACTGGGAACTTGGAAAAAGAGGAAACTAAACCACAGGTTTTAATACTGTAAATCAGAAAAAAAAGGGATAGTACAAATGATGAGAACGACAGTGTGGAAAACCTTGCAAAAGAAGAGATGCAAAAGACTGGAGCAAAGTGCCCCCATTTGAGTTCACCTAAGAGCTGATGGATTTTGAGGGAACTAACTTGCTTTTAACAAGGGATCTTTAATATTTGTGATTTATCCCTGTGTGTCTGTTTAGTACATTCTTCATGTTGGTATATCAATCAGAAAGGACTCTTGAAAAAATTTCCAAGAAGTATGGTCATTGCAAACAAAATTTTAAGTGTGAAAACTAAAAAATAATTTTCATGTGAATATTGTAGGTCAATTTTTCATTTGTATCCAGCATATTTACATGAATTTCAGTTCCCTGAATTTGTGCTGTTTTCTACAGAGTAGCGTAATCAGTGCACTGAAACACATACTATTTTTGCTGTGCTTTGATATCAAATGTATATATGGCTCTAAAAACAGTTACGCAGAACTTAAAACTGTCATGCAAAAGGAATACAAAGTATTTTTAGACATAATTGGGCAAAGTTGTGGATTTGTTTTGATAATTGCCAAATAAGTGGTTTATTCATAAATATATTCTTCAATTGTTTACTGAAGCATTTCTTGTGGCTTGGCATTCAACCASTTCCATGCATTCTTTTGGCAGTGCTCTTCCAATGAATATAATATCTGCCTTTTAAAAAGAAGCTTTAACTACAAAGACAAGGATCCACTGTCAAAAAATGTCAGCTGCTTTCTTTTTCTCCTAAATGGTATATTCCTCCCAGCAGATAGTAGCAGAATTTCAAGACACTGAAACTGTAGCTTTCAAATGTGATGTTTGATGCTTTACTAGCCTTTCCCTGTGAAGAGAAATTTTGTTTGAGGTAAGCATTTTAGAGGGGTGAAGAAGAAACCATCACAGAGTTAAGGTTCTTGGAGAGAAGAACTTGTTTTTATCCTGAGGAAAAGGGCAACACAGATGAGCACTTGATGCTGTAATAGCTTGATTTTTGCTCATGAGCCACTGAGACAGGGTGTTGGTTCAGGGTGTAAGGTGGCAAATTCCGCAGTTGACCTCTATAAAATAGTAAAAAGCCTTTCAAAAAGTAAAATGGCTACTGTATTTTGTTGTGACAGTTCTCAAACCATTTATAAAAAGAATGTGCTTTTGTGGAAACATGGCATTTACTACCTCTTGTCACACACATCTCATGAGAAGAAGTACAAGTATTGGTGGCATCTGACTGTAGTCTTAGATGTATTGCTAACTAAATATTGCTGCTTTAGGTAGTGGTGTGTACAAATGAGGTATTCCCTGGCAATTGATTTACTTAATGGGAAGAGGCTGAACTGAAAACTCTTAAGACAGATTTCAGACAGTTTAGTGAGGTTTTAGAGACAGGAGTTCTTGTGTAAGGACTGAAAAATGGAAATTTGTTAAGTAGCCTGGGTGTCCATTTGACATCAAAAGCATGCAGCACTACACTGGTAGCCATAAGGAGGAAGGGCAAAATAGCTTTAAAAAAATCTGTATTAAAAACTGCTCCCCTAACCGTGCAGTTTTATTTATGGGTTGGCACTACACACATTGAACATAGACATTGAAAAAATAAATTACTAGTTCCACTAGTTGTTTATTCTTTTAGTATGTTTCTTTTGAACAATTAAATTAAAGCTTGATAATACATTGCTTACTAGGAAGTTTTAAATAGAGTTCCTGCATTATTTTTGGATTCCAGCTGTTGAAAATGTTCTGAAAATTACTCCAAGATGATATGTTTTGCAGAACAGTTCTGCAAAATGAAAAGCTATTGATGCTGAAAATTCAGGTACTGGAGAAGCAATCTTAGTCCAAATTTCTGTTGGAAAATACAGAAAATAATTTTGTTAGACTTAATGAAAAGTTCTTCTGGTTTATTTGGCTGCTTTATTTTGGATTTTTTTTTCATTAAAACAGTAAAAACTCGAAATGCCATTTTAAACTGTTCATTCAAACAAACAAGCCAACAGGCATATATTGTTTAGCCTGAAAAGTCCTATTCTACACATATTGGTAAATCTTCATATTGCAGTAGTTATATCAGGCATATCAAAAAATACAAAACTTAGCTTAAACAAGCAAAATGGTTACTGGATCTTTTTCTGGTGCCGTCCACCACTTCCCTCAGACCATTTTCTCAAATTGGCACATTATGGAAGATAATGAGCTGAAGATGAGGCACAGGTGAAAACAAGTGAGTATTCAGTAATAAGAATGGTCATAGAATAATTTGGGTTGGAAAGGACCTTTAACGGCTGTCTAGTCGAAGCCTGCAACAAGGACAACACATCTCCAGCCATACCAGGCTGCTCAGAACCCCATCCAGCCTGACTTTGAATGTTCCCTGGAATGGGGCTTCTAACACTTCTGGACATGTTCAGTGTTTCACCACTTCATTGTAAAAAACTCCTTGTATCCTATATAAATCCACCCTTCAGTTTAAAACCATTATCCCTTGTCCTATTTCAGCAAGCACTAATGCCCATCTTTCTTACAGAGCCCCTTCAAGTGCTGGAAGGCCTCAGTTAGGTCTCCCTGGAGCCTTCTCCAGGCTGAGCAGCCCAGTTGTCTCAGCCATCACTCTAATCACCTGTATGGCCAGAATTTCCCCACTTCCACCTTCCCCTTCTCTCCCCACTCCCTCCCCCCGTTTACTCCAAACTTCAACACAACTGCTTTTTGGTCTAATAATAAAAAAAAAAAAAAACAAAAAAAACCCAAACACTGATGGTCTAATAATAAAATTCTAAATCCTCTGTGAATAAACTGTTTAGAAAATAAAGTGGAAAAACACCAACTCAGTGTTAATCATAAAGTCACCTGGAACTTTCCTCTGCTTCCCAGCTGTATTTCCTTTTTCTCCTTAGTACTGCTTATGTAAATTCTGAAGAAATAGCTGGCATTCTTCTAAAATAAAAAACCTGGCAGTAATGGATTAGAGAGAACATACATGTTTCTATCCTTCGAGGACCATGACAGTGAGCAAGCATTTCTGTAATTTGAACACATGCTTGTCTACCACTAACCTTGTTAACAGCAGTCATCTTGTGTTTTGCAGTTGTAATGCAATGATTTCCAAGATGATTCCAAGAAAAATACACATTTAGATCCAGAAAGATCCTGGCATTCTTAAGCCATACTGGAAGTGTGTTTGCAAGCAACAATCTTCAAAATAGTACCCTGGAATAACTAGAATTGCCTGTGTGGCATGTGGCAAACCCGCCCCAGGTTCCACCAGCTAGCTGCACAGGTGCTTGGTGGCCAGAAGGGACAAATGAGAACTCTTAACTGGGCAGTCCTTTGGCACCTTTTGGTTGCCACGTGTGGAGTTTTGCTTCTGTGCTGCATCATGCACTACAAGTACAGTGCTATTCATTCAGTCTGCCCTCCTTGCCCAGTGTTTCTTCTTGCTTTATCAGGGTTTGGTTTTGTTTCCCAAGACAGTGTTGTGGTATTGGATGTAGTATGTAGTTATGAGAGGAAGAAAGCGCTTTTTTTGTGTGTGACACAGTAATTGAAGATTGAGATAAAACTAGCTTAACTATGATTTGGAAGTAACAGTGATGAGATTATGGCTTTTGAAGAATTTCTGAGTTTTGGTTTTAGTTGTTTGTTGGAGTTTTTKGGGKTTTTTTTGTTCACTTGATTTCATTTTTACCTCACTTTTCTTTCTAAAAGGTAAATTTCTTCATGTTTTCTTTCTTTCTTCTAGTTCTGAAACCAATGGAAAGCAAGGGTTTATTTTTCTTTCCTGCCATTCCAGTGCCTAGCTCTCATTAAATGTTACTTGTTCATTACTTTTTGCCTTAGAAATTAGTATAATAAAAGAGAAGGACAGTGTTGCCAGCAGTCTACCTGCATATGTGACAACAACCAACACTAACATTCTTCCTTTTAAGGACTATTTTGGGTCTTTTTTATATTTTCAAATGTTAAGATTGAAAAATAAAATGTTTGGTACAGTTTAAAGTTGTAATGAAATAATTTAAAAATTATGTATCTCATCA